TTCAGTTCACCTCACAGGTTTTCTCTGAAGTTCAAGGCACAATTAACTTCTGCAATTCTCCAGGTATAATCCTTGGAGATTTTCTGGTCACTCAAACCTTCCTCTTCACAGTGCATTAAGACAATATAGACACACGTCCTCATCCTGGTTGATTGATGAAATTTCCAGTTGACTGTAAATTCTTATTTATTGCCCTGATGGTGGAATTGTGCAATGCTTTTGCTATTTTCTTCTACTTCTTATTTCAATATTTTGCTGCACATCACAGCTATATTCCTTGGTCTTACTCCTTATGATGAATCACTGTGTGTTACCTCATATTTATACCCGTATAAAACAGGAAGTCATGGTTTAACAATTTTCTTTTCCAAGGCACCAATGTGTGCTAAAAATGTGCAATATCAATAGGAATACACTTCAAATATATTTTTCTCAAATAATGTCATAGATTTTTTTTTTCTAGGGTAAACCTGTGTTGCATTTGCAATTGCTTGATATCCATGTATTTGTGTGTTTTTTTTAACAAAAGATCAAGAAAGTAAACAATAAAGACAATTGTTCACAGCTTTCTTTGCTCATATTTACCGATGGTGCCAATATTAATGGAGGGCACTGTATTTATAAATGATATTGAAATAGGCATTGAACATCATGTGTCAGAGTTTAATAATCAGTAACCTTAGTGAAGCCTTTTAAAGAATAGGCATCTCTCCAAAATGTGTGTAGATCCTTCTCCTAAAGGAGTAATCCTGAATGTAATATCCAATAATTACCAAAGTTTAATCCAGAATATAGCTAGATCAGACATAAAGGGTGAAATAATTAAAATAGAAAATTGATAAATCTTTGTTATATTTCAATGAGAAACTATAAATTATGAAACAAAAAGAAACCAAAGTTGTGAATCATACCAATCTGACTAGCTGGTAACATTTGTAATTTAGTTACACAATGGCTGAGAAGAATGATTTGGGGAAATGTGGATAGGAGAGCTGAACTGGAAAAATAATGGTAGGGAGTTAAATTTTGGAAAAATATATTCAGACAAAATAGGATGCAAAATTGTGGAGGTTATATAGACTTTTAGCCAATGGTAGAAGATGTTCGTTAACTGAAAACTATCCTATATCCCATATGACCTGAAATTCAAAAAACAGTACAAACAGCACACAAACCTATAAAGTGTAGTGCTCAAATACAAATAGTATTTACCCATAAATTAAGGTATGGTAGATAACATAAGAATTCCTCAAATAAAAAAACTGTACAAAAAATGTATCTACAAAATAAAACAACAGGGGCCAAACATAGAGTAGTACAATAATACACTTGGAGATGTTGTAATCCAATGTTAAACTCACAAGTTTATCTGGTTCCAACAGCAACTCCTTCAATCGTATTGAGGTATGGACATTCCTGCAGTCAGCATGCCAATTGCACGATCCCTCAAAACTTGTGACATCTGTGACATTGTGCTGTGTGATAAAACTGCACATTTTAGGGTGGCCTTTGATTGTGGCCAGCCTAAGGCACACCTTTGCAAAAATCATGTTGTCTAATCAGCATCTTGATATGCCACACCTGTATGGTGGATGGATTATCTCGGCAAAGGAGAAGTGCTCACTAACACAGATTTAGACAGATTTGTGAACAATATTTGAGAGAAATAGGCCTTTTGTGTACATAGAAAAAGTCTTAGATCTTTGAGTTGACTTCATAGAAAATGGGGGAAAAAATCAAACGCTTTGCGTTTATAATTTTGATCAGTGTATTTATAATATAAAGAAGGGCTTTGACCAACACAGTGTGTCAACCCATTTTAAAAAGTATTATAATAGGATCCAAAAGGTTTAATGTTCCTAGGAGTACAAATAGTTAAGAAGTCTTGGAGAGGGGGCAACTATGTCTTTAACATAGGTAAAGAAAAAATTAAGGGGTGCACTGGTTCGGTACTTTAGAACCAAGAGGCTGGAATGCAGAGTTCGATTTGTACAATTTCTTATAAAATAATGTTTTTAGTATTTTTAATTGTAAATTAAATTAAGTCTTTTCCAGTATTTTTTTTTTTACAAGATATTAGTTTTTAATGTACATGCAATAATATGTCTTTCCCTTTTTCTTTCCCTTGTTGAGATATTTTAGGTACTATAATATTTATTCAGACTATAGGTTTTTTAAATTATATATTTTTAAATTATATATATTTTATAATATATATTTTTAATAGTATTTTGTAATATTTGTCTGTATTTTTATAAATAGGTTTTTATTGATAAAAGTTTAGATTGTATTTAGTACTAAGTAGAGTATTTTGTTTAGATTATAGATTGTATTATATAAAGGTTATTCCCTTTGCGACATTTAGATGATTTGCCACCAGTCAGTAGTTAGATTTTGTACTATGTTTTGAATAAGTGGACCTGAGAGGATTAAGTAGGGATTAAGTAGTATATTCAAAAAAGACGTTTGTGTAAAGTCTAATGAATGTTGACTTTGAATAAGAGCCCACCCAATGGGCGGGCTTTAAATGTGGACTAGCAGGAGAGAAGTGAGTCATCTGAGGAAGCCGATAGGTGAAAAGCGTCATCACGCACAGGTCACGTCACGCTATGGCGTCACGTGGATCAGACATTAACCTCGCCTCCCGGAAGTGTTCGTGCAGAGTGTTGGAGTGCTCGAAGTTCCACAGCTGGTGGCAGACCGAGAGGGCTAGAGACTCAGTGCACATTTGACCCGATTGAAGGAGTTGCTGTGGGAAAGTTTTTAAAGGTTCTTATGAAAATAAAGAATTGTGATTGCACCTGTTGTTGGCATCCTGCATTCTTGATCCATTTAGAGATCTACACACGCTGGAAAGTTAGAGCAAGCTCATCTGCTCTCTATTTGCGAGTGTTTCCTTGTCTTTTAGCACATATAATATTTAAAACAGGATTACACGATGTATTTTTTTCTGTGCTTTTTTCTACATTTTAAAGCAACATATTTTTGTAAGTGCTTTACTTTCACTATATACACTTTGGCAAAGGTTTGCACAGCATTGAGTGTTGCACAAAGACACTTTATATACCTATGTGCACTTTATATATTATAAGGCTACCCCATTTTATATTTGTATAGTCTTAAAGACATAAAGCACCTTTATTTGTTTTTTTGGTTTTGAGAGTGTATGTATAATGGCTATTGCACTTCAGGTGCTGCTTTTATGTTTGCACTATTTATCATACAGTTTATTATATTACCTGGAGACTTTTTATTGTAGCGCCACTTGTTGTGCCTAATCATTAAATTCATGAAGCGCCAATATCAAAAAGCAATAATCAATTACCCTAAGGTTTTTAAAGATATTGGTGGGCACCAAGACCCTGAGTGAAATGAGTATTTGAGAAAGGGAAAGACACTGACACCAAGTACTTGTAAATAATCAATACAAACTTTATTGACTAACAGAGACTTAATTAAAAAGTTAAAACATTTAATCTATAGTGCACACTCAGCTTAAGAAAACAGTTTAATTATCTAGATATTCAGCTTAAGTTATACATCACCATTAGAGAAGCTTGCTGCACTCGACTGAGAGAACTTCTGGCAGTCAGTTTTGAAGGGACCCTCTCTTTCTGGGAATCAGCAGAACCAGCAAAAAGCGTCCGTATTACAGGTGGGTAGTACTCCCAGCGAGTGCCAAGTTTTCTTGTCTTTTATACCTTTCTTACCAATGGGATGGATATTCTGTACTTTTCCACCAAGTTTCCTTATCAGTGCAGCCCAGCAAAGACCTGGATGGGACCGGCAGCTGGCCAGGCTGTTCAGGCCCACCAACAATGCCATGCCAGGTCTTTGTGGTTAATTATCTCTTATCTAAAAGCTAGCTTTGTACTAATAATTATCTTGTGATGGTATGCATGAGTCATTCTGATGCTATGTTTTGTGGTTTTAATAACATTTTTAGTGCTGTGTATTAATAGTTGTGGCATCCAGGCCTGCATCTAGTGATACTGCCTGTGTGTGCTTATGTGTTTACCGGTGCCATCTTAACTATCTTTAAGAGTTTAATTTGCTCAATAGTGATCAATCAATAATTCTCCCTTGAGCACTCAGTGAGCAAAGCCTCACACAATTACACATACCATTCAGGTTATCAGCAGGGGGAAAGCCTATTTACCCACTGATTCCCATATTGCTCCATTCTCACCTGGAACCAATTCAAGCAATAAAGCTCTCCAAGTCGAGGGTCGCCTAAGTTAGCCAATTTTAAACAGGATAAACCTGTAGCTTAAACCTTTGGACATACCTCTTCCCGCTTAACAATCCTAATTAAACTCTTCAAGCTCTATACTAGTATTTCTTTTTTAGTCTAGCCATTCTTTGAATGCAGCAAATTGTAATTTTGTAGCACACATAAATAAAAAGTATAATAAAAACACACCCCGCAATTCTTTTAAAGGTGTCAGGGGTGCTGTTAGTGCAGCAGTAGGTTGCACCACTTTCCTCTATAATGGTGTATGCTTGCTTTTTGCTCTTCTGGTTTGCATGACTTACCCAATAGTGGGTAAGTTCTTCTGAAGAAATATTAGAGCTTACATGTGCATATGTAGTATGCGTCAGCCAAAGGGCGTTGTAGATTCTAATGTTAACAAATCAAATGATTTATCTGGTAACTTAATATAGGTCATTGTCCTCAGTTTCATTGTGGCTGAAATAGCCTTCTCCATACAGGCTTGCCCTCATGTTTGGACAGTTAACAGTCAGGCAGGTTACTCTCATTTCGATCTTTCCATTTCATCTCTGCGGAATCATTCTGGTACCAACCTCCAATCTCGTTGCTGGTATCTGATCCGACCAAAGGGTGTAGAGTAATCACAGCAATCACAATAACAGCCAGACACATGAGCTTTGCCTGTAAAGATACAACTCATTTTACTCTCTTAAATAACATTTGCCCGAAGGCACATATTCTCATTTATCATGACCTGACATGGAGAGTATCACGGTATTGTCATTGCCTGTTGCAATAATGTCTGCTGGTTCTGGGGGACCTTTCTCTGTCCTCACCCAGACTTTGGCCCCTGGATTTAGGTTAGTAGAGACACATCCCTTATCTCCTCTTACTGTTTGTAAGATGGGGGCTGTTCCTTTGTGTACCTGTCCCTGGTAAATGGGGATGATAACCAATTGGGCTATTCTGTCCCCGTCTTGCACTAGCAAGTCTTGTGGTCCCTGATTTAACAAGAGGACCTTTATTTCCCCTTGGTAATTAGCGTCTATGACCCCTCCCATTACATGTATCCCTTTAAGGGCGAGGCTAGACATGGGTGCAATTAGTCCAAAGTGTCCCGGGGTATCTGTATTCCTATACCTGTGGGGAACATCTGAACTTGCCCTGTTTGAAGTTTTTCTTCCTTTCTGGCTTGCAAGTCTATTCCGGCAGCCTCTGGGGTAGCCCTGTATTGTGCCAAGGCTCCCTCCTCTGTTTCCCAATATGTGATGGTGTTAGTTGCTACATATGGTTTAGCTTGTATATTGGGTACAATCACTCTAGTGAGGGGGTGTCATGATCTGAGAGTGGCCTATTATTTAAGATGTTCACAGCTGTAGGCAAGTTATCTCTCCATTTGTACATTGTCCCTTCACCAAGTTTTCTCAATTGTTGTTTCAACAACCTATCCATCCTTTCAATCAGACCAGCTGCTTGAGGATAATAAGGTATGTGAAATATCCATTCAACATTGTTTTCCTCACAAAAGTCTTGTACCAATGTTCCTTTAAAGTGACTTCCACTGTCACTCTGAATCTGTAATGAAAGACCATAGTACTGTATCATGGTTTCCAACATTTTAATAGTATTTATTTGGGTAGCCCTCTTGCAAGGGTGAACCAATAAATACCCTGAATATGTATCCACAGCTGTGCATACATATTGACAATTGTTACTCATAGGAAGTGGACCTATGTAATCCACCTGTCATATTTGCCCTGGTGCTTTTCCTCTTTTTATTTGACCTCGTACCAACCCTGGTACATGTCTATGCCTCGCTGTTGTGCCCACCTGTGAGTGGCTTTCTTTCCCAAGTGTCCACATTTCTGATGGGCCTAATTAGCCAATCCCAAAAGTGAGTTAGAATTTTCAACGGACACCTCTGAGATCATGGCTTTCTCATCTGCAACAGAGTTAAACAGATGATCCAATGAGTCAGTATTGCAGTGAGCATCAACATGAAAGACTGTTACCTCATTTTGATGTACCATCTCCCATATCTGCTCCCACAAATCTTTTCCCCAGACTTCCTTTGTATGAATCATGAACTGATGTGACTGCCATGTAGGCAACCATATAGCTAGACCATTGGCAACAGACCATTGGAATCTGTGTATATATGACAACTTCCAGGCATCTCTTGTTTCAGAGCCTGAAACACTGCATATAACTATGCATACTAGCTACTTTTTCCTGTTCCTGTTGTAGTCAGTATTTTCTTGGTTTCTGGATAGTAAAATACTGCTTTCCATTGTATTTCATTACCAATGTATTTTGATGAACCATCAGTAAACCAAGCATGCTTTGCTTGATCTTGTGTTAGTTGCATAAAAAACTTTCCCCACTTTACTGGAGATTCCCCTGGCTTGTCTGCTTCTGGCAGATAACCAGGTTCTTGTATTGGCGCATCTGTAATTTTCTCATGTAGTACAGCCGTACCACTATTTCCTGTTTTAGCTCTATCCTGTATGTACCACTTCCATTTTATGTTACTGGACTCTAATGCATGACCTATCCTATGTGTCTTAGGGGAACTAAGTACCCATTGTATGATAGGTATCTCTGGGCATAAGAACACTGTATGTCCTACCGTTATCTGTTCAGTATCCACCAAGGCCCAATAACAGGCCAAGAGCTGTCTCTCAAAGGGTGTGTACCTCTCTCCTGCCTCGGGTAACTTCCTTGTCCAGAAACCAAGGGGAACCATAGTCCATCCTTGTTTCTGCCAAAGGCTCCAATTAGCCCTTTGCTGATTTACTGATACATTTAAGTCTATGTCTCCATCTTGTATGGGCCACAGATCAAGGGCTTGCTGGATAGCCTGTTTAGCTCCCTCAAATGCATTCTGTTGCTCTTCTCCCCAATCAAAATGATGTTTTTTCCTGGTTACTTTGTACAAAGAGGAGAGTAGATGACTCAGGTGTGGTATGTGCTGTCTCCAAAAACCAAAGAGAACTATAAAGCTTTGAGCTTGTTTCTTGCTTTTGGGAGTTGGAAACTCTAGCACTTTTTGCTAAGCTTTTGGAAGGATTTCTCTGTGTCCTTTGTTCTGCTGTATTCCCAAGAATTTCACTGTCTGAGCAGGTCTCTGTATTTTACTGGGATTTATCTCCCACCCTTTGCTTTTCATATGCTCGATAATCTCTTCAAGAATCTGCTGACACTGTTCTTCACTCTTTCCCTGAATCATAATTTCATCTATATAATGGGATATTTTCACCTCTGACTGTATTTTTACCCCATCAAGATGTTCTGCCACCAGCCGATGACAGATGGTGGGACTATGTAAGTATCTCTGTGGCAACCTACTGAATGTGCATTGCCTCCCAAACATGTGGAAGCAAACTGCTCTTGGTTTTCTTCGGCTATTGGAATAGTGAAGAAGGCATTAGCCAAATCTATGACTGCATACCAGATCCCTGGATGCTTCTGTATATTTTCAATAAGAGTGATTGTGTCTGGAACAGCAGCTGTCAGTGGAGGTGATTGTTTGTTCAATTCTCTGTAGTCTACTGTCATTCCCCATGTATGGTCTGTCTTACGTATGGGCCACACATGATTGTTCCAAGCAGTAGTGACCCCTCATAGGACCCCAGCTCTTATTAAATCATCTATTGTTTCTCCAATTTCTTTGTGGCCCCCTGGGATCCTGTACTGCTTCATATGTACTACTTCAGTAGCTGGTGGTAGTTGTACAGGGGGCATTAACACTTTTACTACCACCCCTGGTCTGGCTGATATATAGGGTTTAGTTCTAAAACTGTAACAGCCATCCCCCAAATGTAAGGTCAATCCTTTAAAGATATCAATTCCAATTATGTATTCAGGTATGGGGACAATTAAAACTGAATACTTATTTTTTGGCAACTGTCCAATTTTCAGTTCTACCCAAGTCTGGACTGCTTCTGTTCTCTTACCTCCCAGACCCGTAATTACATAGGGTAATCCAACAAATTTCTTAGGGTTTCCATAAATTAAAGTGGCCTCTTTCAACATTTTTATTTTTCCAGTGTATTGCAACTTTTACATGGGGTCTATGATCTTTTACTGAAATGTCAATCAATGGAGCTTGCCTCACCAGTCAATTCCTATCTCTTAGGTCTGTCATATATAAGTCTCCCAGGTTAGGTAATTCTTTGTGTGCGAATTCCTCTAAATCAGGGTACAATGAACTCACTTTCCTTTCCCTACTTGCTTCCATTCTTTCCAACAAGTCTTACACATGCTTGCTAATTTCACCAAGATTTTTAAAGTTATTTTCCAACTCCTCCCCAAATTTCCCTGAACGCTAACTACCTCTCCTCCTCATGACAAGAGAGGTGCTGTAGGAATCAAAGCAGGTAGCTTTGGTGTCTCCTTTGCCTGGGGAAAGGATGGTAGTTTATCTGATTATCCCCAAGGTGTTGGAGCCTCTGTCCACAGATTATTTACCTTGAGGCCTTTTTTATGATGTCACTTTTTCTTGTATAATCTCAGGAGAGTGGGAGTATCTTTCCCATCAATATCCTCTTTACTTACCCCTTCTCTGAGGAGAGCCAGGAACATTTCTTTTCTACTTACCCTGTTTTCAGTATTTCCATCCTTTGGTATCCCAGATGGTCTGAATGTCGATGAACCTTGTCTTGGGAAGCTTCCATCACCAGGGTTCTTGTGTGTCTGGGTCCTTGGTTGCGAAGTCTCACAATTCACCTAATTGCATAATTGCTTCAATGTGTTTCTGGTTTGATTTACAAGCAGTGTCATTATCACCCACTTATATGCTGGAGGGGCAGTTTTTATGATCTTATTTCTTATTTGAACTGTCACAGGTATTTCCATCAGTCTATCCAGCTGTTGTGAATTCTGGATAGCCTGTGTGACCATCTGCTGTTTCAGTTTCCTTACTGCATCTGTCAGCCCGTACCATGGTTTGTCATTATCTGGCCAGTCACTGACAGATGGATACCGCAATTTTAACCCTATCTGGACAAGCTCCAGGAGAGTGAGTGAAGCCGGACTCCCATCTACTGCGGGAGGTCTGTTTAACAACATCCTCCTGACATTCTCATCCTCTGAGATAGTAGACAACTTTGGTGAGTGTATGGCATCAAGATTAATACCTCCTGCTCCTGTTTCAGCTAGTCTGACAACCCACTCATCCAGCGGTTCCTTTGACCGCTGTCTGAAGGTTGAAAGAATATCAGTCATCTCTTGCTGTGTATAGTCTTCAATAGAGGTCTTGCTAACTTACCCCAGGTCAGTGTACTCCAACTTTCTTGTGACCACAGGCAATGCATTTACCCCTTCGGACTCTTCATCTGAGCTCCAGATGTTGCCATCCCAAGTTTCAGGATCCCAATCGGGTTCTACTTGTGCTAAACACACCTGCATCTTCCTCTTGCTAATCTTGGCCATAGTTACCTTCATCACAGATTTTTGTAAGAACATTTCATACAAATGCTTTTTTTTTTCTATCTGACATTTATCATTGTGTGCCTGTCTAGATGCAGTAAGTATTACCCAACCTCTTTTCTGCCACTTATCTTTTGGAATCTCTTTCAGGCATTTCACTTTTTTCACATTCATAGTCACATTTACCAGTTGAACAAGCCCATTCGCTGGCAATCAATGCATATGGCTCATCTTCCCATCCGGGAATGATGGCGTCATCACCCTGTTTCTTATTCTTTTTAAACATTGTGCAAATGTCCTATGGTTTAAAAAAAAAAAAAAAAAACTTGCACTCCTTGGGGATATGTGTTCTATGTGTTTATTTTATTTCACTTGAATGTGTACTAATCCAGACACCTGGTGTCTGGCTTATTGTCTTATTCTTCACTCAAATACAATACATACAATAGGTGGATCACACTCCTTGAAATATCTAAAAGAAAATAAAAACAACAAAAGAAAATAAAAACAACAAAATAGTATAATATTGTCAGCAAATGGATATCCAGAATATAAATGAAGATGATCAGGTACTCACAAACCGAGAGCCAAACAAGAACATGTGGCTCTCATGGGAACAGCACTGGGACCATTAGTAGGATGTTCCTTTCCTTCTGTGGATCTTCTGATGACCATTAAGAAGAAGCTGAAAACACTTACTCTTGCAGTAAAGTGTTTATTAATCTGGAACACAAAATTTTTTGCGGTGGAACGCATTTCCGGTTTCACCGTGCGTCACTTCCGGGTTATGACGTCATCCAGTTGCGGACGTCGGCCCGGTTTCCGGCGTAATGACGTCATGTTGACATGGCAACGAGCCGGCTGGAACGCACACTGTATGACGTGTGCGCTCCATTTCAGAACATTTATAGCAAAAAGTAAGAAAGCATACATAAATAGCCAAAGCATTATAACTGCATCATATTATCATTCTTATTACCCCAAACCATTTAAATAGGGTGAAATAGTGATGAATAAAGTGCTTATACATTGTGAATTTCCATAGTTGATAAATCAATCTATGTTCTAATATTCAAAAGTGGCTGTGCCTATCTTCATATTTCTATTTTCTAAAAGAGTGTTTCTATTCTGTTTAAATTATTTATACCTAAAGTAAATAAATAAGGTGCTTATATATTGTGAATTTTTATCAGAGTTTATAAATCAGTATTATAGTATTTTAAATTGCCAGTGATTATATTCCTATCTTTTATGAAAATCTATTTTTATTTTACTAAATTCATTATTAATACCTTTGAATATAAGAATAATTTACTAATCTTCTTGTGCAGATAAACTTTTTTTTTTTTTTAAATATTTTTTTAAAATGACATGTTTCGAAAGCTATTCCACATCAGGATTTACACAAAGAATGAATCCAACATCTACATCAAATTTCGACACAAACCATATAGAAGATTATTCAATAAGACAATCAGAAAGAGATAGTAGGAGAAGAAATAGGGACAGAGATCAAAGGTCAGTAACCCCTAATAGAGAATCAAGAATAGCTGAGGACCACCAATCTTTTTTTCAGAAGGGATCCATAACAGAGAGGTTAAAAAGATTAGAACAGCCCAAATCATGGGAATCCCCGGGCAAACGCCAAAGATCCAGAGAAAGAGAGATGGAAGAAGACGAAGAAGAACTAGGCAATCTAATAAAGAGGGGGAAGAGATAGATTCCAAAGGAATTTTTAACCTGACAGACCATACATTTACTAAAAAAGAATTATTATTTTTTAAAAAGGCCTCAAATTCGCAGCTACAGCAGAATTTAATAAATTCGATTTTTTTGTTGATATGAATAAATTTATGAGGAATTTATGTCGTAAAAATTTTTTTTATGGAAAGGAAGAGGTAATAAATAGGGAAATAGTAACCCCCTATATACAAACCACTTTAAAAGAAAAATCTTCTTTCTTCCCAAAGCATATGATCTCTGATGAAATGAGATCATTCGAGATGATGGTAATGGGAGAAATGAATAATATTAAAAAATTAAACAAATATCAACTAAATATGACCAGACAAGAGAAGAACACTCTCAAACAATTACAAAGAGATAAAGATATAATCATTAAACTTGCCGATAAGGGGGGTGGTATTGTAATACTCCCTAGGGAAAAATATTTAGAAGAATCCGGAAGGATTCTCTCAGACGTAGCAATCTACCAGAAACTCCCTTCCAATCCTACAAACAAAATTAAACAGCTCTTTGAAAAATTTATAGAGAAAGGACTAGAAAAGGCTATTTTAACTGAAAAAGAGAGTAAATATCTACAGGTCACACATCCAAATATTCCTGTATTTTATTACTTACCAAAAGTCCACAAAAATATCTCGAATCCCCCAGGTCGCCCTATTATATCCGGTATACACTCTATATCCTCCAGGGTCTCCGAATATATAGATATCCTACTCCAACCCCTTATTGCAAAAAACCCTTCACATCTTAAGGACACGATACAAACTCTGCAAGTGCTAGACTCCATCCATTGGAATATCTCTTACCATCTGGTCACTAGCGACGTGACGTCTCTTTACACAATTATCCCTCACGATATAGGGATTCAAGCAGTACAACATTTTTTGATTAAAGCAGATTTTAAACAAGACAAATCAAATTTATTTTAGAAGGTATTTATCTCATTCTCACCAACAATTTCTTTTGGTTTAACAACTCATTTTATTTACAAATTAAGGAGAAAAGCGATAGGCACCAAATTTGCACCCAGTTACGCCAATTTATTTATGGCGTACTGGGAGGAGCATTTTATCTTTTCATCCCATCCCTGGGTGTCAAATTTGGTGTCCTATCACCGATATATCGATGATATCTTTTTTATTTGGAATGGAAATATCCATCTTTAAGAAATGTTTTTATCATTTTTAAATGATAATGAATGGGGCATTATTTTAACAACTACCCATAGCCCCACAGATATTCAATTTTTAGATCTACATATTTTTATTCAGGGCCAACATATGATCTCTGATGAAATGAGATAATTCGAGATGATGGTAATGGGAGAAATGAATAATATTAAAAAATTAAACAAATATCAACTAAATATGACCAGACAAGAGAAGAACACTCTCAAACAATTACAAAGAGATAAAGATATAATCATTAAACTAGCCGATAAGGGGGGTGGTATTGTAATACTCCCTAGGGAAAAATATTTAGAAGAATCCGGAAGGATTCTCTCAGACGTAACAATCTACCAGAAACTCCCTTCCAATCCTACAAACAAAATTAAACAGCTCTTTGAAAAATTTATAGAGAAAGGACTAGAAAAGGCTATTTTAACTGAAAAAGAGAGTAAATATCTACAGGTCACACATCCAAAGATTCCTGTATTTTATTACTTACCAAAAGTCCACAAAAATATCTCGAATCCCCCAGGTCGCCCTATTATATCCGGTATACACTCTATATCCTCCAGGGTCTCCGAATATATAGATATCCTACTCCAACCCCTTATTGCAAAAAACCCTTCACATCTTAAGGACACGATACAAACTCTGCAAGTGCTAGACTCCATCCATTGGAATATCTCTTAACCAAAAACTTTTTTAAAACTGTCGATGCAAATGGATACATCAAGAGTAACGGTTGCCACCATAAACCATGGCTACATAATGCCCCGAAAGGCCAATTCATGAGAATCAGATGCAATTGCACTAAAGACGATGATTATATCCAACAAGCCACAAAAGTAAAAGAACACTTTTTAGAGAAAGGATATCAGGAGAATAATTTAACTATAACAATGGAGAATACAAGAACCCTATCACAAAAAGAATTACTTACTTATAAACCCCAAAAGATTCCTCTCCAATCTGATAATAAAGTACCGCTTATTTGCAACTATAACGGGAATAATAAAAACATCAGAAAAGTCATAAAGAAATATTGGCATGTGCTACAAAGTGATCCAGTTTTAAAAAAGATTCTCCCAGCAAAACCCCACATCATATATAGAGGGGCAAAAAACTTGAAAAACATTCTTGTAAAAAGTAGCGAAAGCCCCATTAAAATTAACCATTTCCCGGGCCTACAAAATGGGTATTACGGTTGTGGAAATTGTCAGGCATGCAAATCCACCAACAGTAAGAAAAGACATTTCAGTGACCTTCGAGAATTTATTGATAAAGATTTTGTTATTAAAGACAAACTAACCTGCTTCTCTAAAGGTGTAATCTATATTTTAAAATGTCCTTGTAATTTATTATATGTTGGCAGAACCATTAGATGCTTCCACATCAGAATCTCTGAACACATACAAGACATAAGAAAAGGTTTGGAGACCCATAGCGTCGCCAACCACTTTAAGACCCATCATAATCAAAGTCCTGACCAATTGTTTTTTTGCCCTTTAAAAATAGTTACACATGACTGGAGAGGAGGTGATTATATCAAAAAAATAGGGCTAGAGGAGATGAAATTTATTTTTAATTTCAATATCCTCGTTCCACACGGCTTGAACTCCGATTTCGAAACATGTAATTTTTTAAAAATATTTAAAAAAAAAGAAAGTTTATCTGCACAAGAAGATTAGTAAATTATTCTTATATTCGAAGGTATTAATAATGAATTTTGTAAAATAAAAATAGATTTTCATAAAAGATAGGAATATAAGCACTGGCACTTTAAAATACTATAATACTGATTTATAAACTCTGATAAAAATTCACAATATATAAGCACCTTATTTATTTACTTTAGGTATAAATAAAGAATTTAAACAGAATAGAAACACTCTTTTAGAAAATAGAAATATGAAGATAAGCACAGCCACTTTTGAATAGTAGAACATAGATTGATTTATCAACTATGGAAATTCACAATGTATAAGCACTTTATTCATCACTATTTCACCCTATTTAAATGGTTTGGGGTAATAAGAATGATAATATGATGCAGTTATAATGCTTTGGCTATTTATGTATGCTTTCTTA